GTTCATGTAGGACACATATTGAGCCAAGTTTGAGACTGTGGTGAGAGCCCATATGCCATCATACAAACCTCGGGACGATTTCGTGGTTTTCCTGCCCATGTGACACAAATACGGGTTAGTTCCATCAAAAGTCCTTCACGAAGGCAAATTCCTCCAAATACTTGATCCAGGAGTTCCCTTGTCTTCTGAATTGGGCTCAAAATCAAAAGGCTAAGTAGTTGAACATCAGCAGTCGCAAACCCGAATATTGGGTCGGCTTTTCAACGACGGTTATAAAATATAGAGATAATAATATCTTGATTGCATGCATTCTAAAAATCAATAAGAGAATGAAACCAAAGAGTAAAATTCCGGCTTATGAGATCAGTTTATCGATTTTTATCAAAAAAGTATATTACCCAGCAACCAAAAAAGTGCAAAACCTCCAAAGATCAAAGAGAGACCGAAGTATATGCTAATTCTTTAATGCAGGGACAGGAAAAAAGGTCATTCTCTTCTATGAGATACTCCGATCCAAAGGCAAGAACCACACCAATTATATTCGCGACTGTAACAAGATGAGTTTCAAAAATACTCGAAAAACTCCTTGAGATGGATGTTACTTTTGTCCAAATGGCTTGTACTCCCATTTTTGCCTTCTCAACAAGTCTTCTCGTTAGTTCAGACTAATATGAAAATAAGAAGAATATCGTTTTTGCTATCAAAAACATTAGGGATATAGATTAAAACACTCATTTAATCTGAATATGCACTACTGGTGCTTAAAATTAGGAAATTTTTGCTCGATTATACCGGGGAACAAATTTTTTTTTATACAAGTAGTTGATCTTATCAGGCGTGGAGATTTCAAATCTGAAACCAGGTTTGCTTCAAAAGCTAGATATTTTCAAAATGATATTTTTAGTTTAGTTTATTTTTTGTCTAAATGTACGAATTTATAAGGAACTTGAACGTTTATATACACTTATCTGTCCCTTTGAAAGTATCATTTAGGACAAAAACCATATGACCATATGACGTTTCGCGTCATAAACTGAAAAGTAATTTCGCCTTTTTCCTATCATTCAATATGTAACAGAGAAGTGGAGACTCTTAGTATGTTACTAAATCGTATAAAAATTATAGCTTGGGGAGAAACTGATTGCAGATTTGAAGTCAAAGACAAAAAATATATATAAGGTCCCATCAAAAATTTCATTTAACAGAAAAAGAAATTATTCCCCAGTGTTATTTGTTTATGAGATCCTGTGGAAATTGAATGTAAGTACTTCTAGTCTCTGAATAGGCGCCGGACGGTTGCGAATAGAATTGCGTTCATCAGAATACTCCAGACATCCTGTATGAGTTTGAAGTCTGGAGAACTGTTTGGCTCCACTTTCTAAAAAATCATTGACCAAAGGAGTTCAATGCAGTAGAGGTCCTGTTGTACGCTTGAAAAAACAAACGCAGCTCTCCGAAATCTCACCCCTATACCCCACATTAATCACAATGCAGCCTTCCAAAAGGATCTGCCCAGATCATTAGACTTCCATTGCCGCAGTAGGCGATTTCTCATACATTGTATCTCAGTTTCTTTGAGAACAGTTTCCTGTTTCTCTTCAGTATAAAAGCGTGAACTAGAAACTGGAACCCGTTATTCGCATTCTAATGTCTAAGAAATTGACCATTAGGGTAGCTGATGGTTTGGGCAGTCTACAATCTACAATGGTCTCACAATCCTCCATGTTTACAAACATCTAAACAAAATAATTTCCAGTATGAAAGGGGGATAAATATCTGCCAAGCATAAACTCTTTGCTATAACTCTTCTATTCTTCGCTCTTATAAGCATTATTTTATACCTTTTGACTTCGACGAGTGTTATGCATGGTCATGAACGAGTATTATAACTATTGAATAGTGATTATTATTCTTTACATTATATTGACCCTTAATGGACCAATGCCGACCTATAAGCCCTTTACTGGGTCAAGTATCGTGTATATAATGGCGAAAATCATTTTACTATTTTAACACAATTATTGGTGTCCTATTTGTAACAAATTGAATTGTAATTTATTGCATAATTATAATTAATCATTATAATTACCGGATGGTAATTGAATTTGAAATTCTTTTTGATCGTTAAGTGTGAACATCTGTTCAAACCAAATTTTATAAAGTTCTATTCCAATAAATGTAAAGATAATCAATCGAAATCTTAAAATTTTCTTAATTTTAAACATGAGATTTGTTCTAAGCATGAAGAATAAATAAAAAATAAATATTTTCATAACTACGATTTTTAAATATTATTAGAGAAAAAAACCTGAAAAACACACAAAACCTAGAAAAATGTTCGCTTAAAAGATGACTAGACATTAGCATGGGCCAAAAAGACAATTTTGTTTTAAAACATACCACTCAAAATTTAGTATTTCAACAGCTCTTAATCACAAAGTCAACTGAATGTTGGGAAAAATATGAAAAAAATAAATCAATGTCTTTTTTCTGTTATAAGTTAACATGATAAAAAAATTAGCAAAATTTTATTCTTTTTATCTGCATTAAAGTTATAAAAACTGCATTAAAGTGTTTTGTTTCTTTATGCTAAACAGAAAAGCAAAATTTCTCAACTACAAAAGTGTGAAGTAGTTCGTTTTGGTATTTTTTTTAACGATTTAAGCGCTTTAAATTCATTCTTATAAAAACACTGTTTTTTGTTGTTGTGCCAGTGTCTGTTTATATGAGGTCGAAAAAATTTATTTGTTTCTCTATACTAAGAAATAGCAAAATATTATTTTAAAAAAAATATTAACAAAAAACAGGTCGTTAATTGCTGGTATGAGCTGTCGTTACAAAGCATCATTCTGTGATTGATATCGGACGGTCGTCATAGTAAAGGAAACTATTAAAGAATGGTGGAAAACTGAACAAAATCCTTAGTAAAACTTATTGCAACAGAAATATACATGTAATAAACGGAAATATTATGAAATGTTCTTCAAAAAAATTATGTTAGAAAAATAAATATCCCATGAACTGTCGTCCCAATTAATTTTTCCAATACGAGTTCATTTTTTATGTTTATATTTTAGAGGGAAGGATTTAAATATACAAAAATAAAATGACGGTAGAAAACTACTGTACGTCACTGAAATGCATGATTTCAGAGTCGTACGTACGTGTAGAATAGAAACTTGATTTCAGAATCGTTCGCACGTGCAGAATAAAAACATGATTTCAGAATCGTACGTTCGTGTAGAATAAAAACATGATTTCAGAATCTTACGTACGTGTAGAATAAAAACATGATTTCAGAATCACGTGAATAAATCTAAAAAATGTTCTCGTTCAATGCACATAGCTGGAAAGATCACTATTTTCTATTGTAACGGAAAACATTAAACTAACAATATCAACTGACTATTAGGCCAATATTCTTTTTTTCTTCAAACTAACAGGGATTATAATGACATGTGAATAACGAATTGCTTGTTTGAGTAATTGCATTTTGACACTCACTATGGGTTTTCGCAGAATTTTTGGATTCTATTTATGTATATTTTTTTTCCATCAATATTATATTATTACAACTTGCGAATTTTGGAGAAATTTCCGTAACTGGAAAAATTTTGGATAAATTAAAGCTTTTTTCCTTAAATAAAAATTCAATCTGTATAACAGAGTTATTATGAAGTAATAGGCTACTCTTTATTATTTTATGATGTAAAGTTAGTTCTAAAATAAGGCGTAAAATTTTATTTCTTAGTAATCATTATAAATTATTGGCATATTATTATTATTATTATTTTTTGCATGTTTTGTTGGCCAAGCTCTGTAGAAAAATTAGATTTTTAGAACTTATAGCAGCTATTGCTAAGAAAAATTGGTTTTATGAAGCTCGAATTTCAAATTATTACATTAAATTTTTTTCGGCCCAAACCCTTTTTGTTTCTAAAATTTTATACGTAAAATTTTGTAACTTTTATCCTTGATTCTGAGTTTTATCACAAATCACATTAATCTCCCTGATTGTGACTTATACTTTTAAGATATTTTTTAAACTTATTTCAAGGCTAAATGCTTTTAATTCTGCTTAACTAATTCCCTTATATTCTTCAAAAAATATACAAAAGAAAGGGAAATGAGAAAAAAAAAATAAATACAGATATGATACTTGTTATGACACCAGAAAAATGACCTATGTTATTTATTCATTCTTTGAAGAAAAATATAAATGCCAAATCTATTTAAAATGAATATACAATTAAGTAACATTTTAATATAGATAACTGTTTATCTATACCGCACAGGTGTTAAAATTCAGAGAATAAAAGGATAAAACAATTTGCAAAATACCAATCTCAAACGCTTTGTTATTATTAACAGGAACAAGGAGAAAAACAACATGCGGTTTTTAATTATTCTTGCATTTCTTTGCTGTTTGGCATTCGTAAGTAATTTCTTAAGCATATTTAACTGTAGCCACTTTTTAAAACATGTGGTGATTTCTACAAAAGTTGAAATTTTTAAATAATTAAAAATATATTGATATTAATAGCGTAATGAATTTCTTCTGAATCATCTCTTGAAATGAAATAAACATTGCGAAGTGTATTTGGAATATGAAGAAATATTTTAAGAAATAAGTATAAAATAAAATAATTTTCCAAATATTACTAATATATTTCTAAACATATCATGAGTAGTAGTAATAAAATGCAAATGTGTTGCAAATTTTGGAGAAAAATTGGCAATCGAGTGGCGACTCACAGACAATAACTTCTCAATCGTTCTCTGTTATGTTTAATCGCCCTGCTGCCGATAGTGGCTGTTAATTTTGGCCTATATAGCAGAACGATACTTATAATGTAGAAATATGCCCCAAAATTCTTAAATTAAATCAAATAGCATATAATTTTTTCAAAAAACATCCTAGTCTAAAAGCTAAGTACAGCTAAATAAAAAAAATTATATTTTTAATTTAATATTTCAAATAATTTTTTGTTTATTTTCAGACATTAGCGTCAAAAAAATGCAGTAAGCAGTCTGACTGTGAAGCAGATGAATGTTGTGTTCATAATGAGTTCTTTCAGCGTCCAATTTGCTTAAAAAGATTTAGAGCAGGTTCACAAATGCTCAATTTATTTTAATTTTTATTTAACTTTTTAGTAGAGTATTTATTAGTTTATATTCTTTATGCCACTTTTTTATCAATCATGTTTTCCTCATTTTGCCCCCATTTCTAAAAATTTAAGTCGTCCCATGTAATATATAAACAAATCATGAATAAATTTATCATAATCTGAACCATGAAATAAGGTTAATTAAAATACGTGTCCCAGAATGCCGTGTAGAAGCTTGGAGAAGAGTTAGAGAACATTGTTATGAGTCATCACTACATATTAACCCCTTAACGATCGGTTAATTTTCAAGAAAACGATCATAAAAGTGCCTATTTTTTTATTAGTGCTATTTGATTAGTGCTGACATCTAGTTTAAAATAAACTAACTATCTACAATTACCTCATATATATCCTGGTATTGCCATCTGGTGAGTAAAATGAGAAATAAAATGTTTTCCTGGCAAAAGAAATGAATTAGTTTTATTCTTATCGGCGCATTACTACTGAACACTCCAGCCCGGAAATTACACGAAAGCGAGAAATAGAGGGCGAAACCTCACCCCGACATTTTCACGGGAGCGAGAAGGAAGGGGTTGAAGCAAGGGTGGAAACATCACCCTTGCGCTATATTGCGCAACAAAAGAGTACTATGTATGACGTACAAGTATCACAGGAGGTGTTCGAAATTGCGCCTTTTGGCTAAGATGCACGAACGACACCCACGCGACTTGCATTGGCGAATATTTTTGGAGATACCGGGTACTTCACTGATCGTAGCAGCAGCGATGGAGATTCGAGTTACCAGGCCCATTTCAGAATTTACGGGAGGGTCGTTCACAATGCTTTTCATGACACCCCCAGGAAAAAAATACAAGGAGATAAATCAGGTGAGCTCTGAGGCCAAGCAATAGAATGACCACGTCCACAAGGTTAAAGCCATACTCCTCGCCGAACATAAGTGGAGATGGAGACACCGTCAAAAATTTTCGAAGTACCTCTTGAAGAAAACCGGATAATTATGAGAGTCCAGTTGAGGAGGTGAGATGAATGGCATGATTAAATTGCCCGCAACAATGCCTCAGCGTTGCTGTGGGGATTGTGGTCGGTTTCCGTGTCCATTGTCTAGAGGCCACAGGTGCTCGTTGTGCGCATTGAACCCACATCCCGTGAAAAGTTTACTTTGAACAAAACAAAACTGGAAAATTGTACATCTGAAGTACTGTGGTGTAGAAACCACTAATTTACAAATAACAGAAATATTTTTAGCATTGCCACGATATTTATATTTAAATTATAGGATTTTTGACATGGAGGAGTTCCTCTAGAACTTTCAATACTGTGTAGATGATAAATATTGTTTAATGAGTTCAAATGTGAATTTTTACAGGCAAGGGTTGTATAGCTTTATCAAGGTATGACGAAGAGAAGGATATTTACTATACGACTTGTCCTTGTCTTCAAGGTTACGAATGTGAAGGTGAAGAGACAGAAGACGATGGAGTAAGTATGAAATTACATTAAGCTAAATACATGTATCAGCCATGCCTTTAGACAAAACAATCAATTAGATCCAAGAAGCAACCGTCTAAAAAAATGAATCATTACGCTTTCAGAACGAACGTCCATTTAGATGCATCTAACTAAATCCATGATTTATTCAAGACTTAGATCCTGTATCCCACTAAATCCATGATTCCTCCAAGATGTTAGACCCAACATACAAATGAATCATATAGGATTTCAGACCCAGATTTTAAGTCACAAATCTTCCATGATTTTAGATTTCAACTTCTTTGTTTTGTAAATTGATTTAAAAGGCGCCATCATGTATTTTTGGTTCAATTCTTTGATTACAATTTTCTTGTTGATTTTTGTTCTTAACTTTTTCTTTCTTTTTTTTTTGTAATGATACACTCCCCTTCAATAGAATCATACCTTCAAGAAAAGGTTTGGAGCAAGAAAAACTATGTTTGGATAGGTATTTTAGTTATGTGTATTGGCAAATTTATCAATTTTTTTCAATGCTCACCCGATTGACACGCGTCATTCAGGTATCAGTAGGGCAGATTTGTTGACCACTCTTTCAGGAGCACCATATTAGGTGGGTCAATGTTGCTCCCACTCGTAAGAACGGATAATACAGAGAATGAAAGAACCTCCATGCCTTGTCCAGGATTCAAAGCCAGGACCTTTTTAATGTGAGGTCAGCTCTCTGAAAACTGCACAATCAGATCAGTTTATCGATTTTTATCAAAAATTTACTTATTTAATGTTAAAACTAACTAAAACGGTTTTGTACGTTCAAAATTTCTTTTAACTCGAACTGTGTGCAAGAAAAGATATTCTTTGAAGCATTTCATATTTTTAAACATTCAGACATTAAATTATTTAGCTGAAAATGCAGGTTATAAAATTCTATTGTTATAAGTAAGTCCAGTAAAATTGGATTTTTGACCGCAAAAAAAATTAATTCTCAAGATTTCTTTCATAAAAAAAACTTGAATTACGATATTTTAAATTGTAACTGAAACCTCTTCTACTTTCCTCTGCATTCTTCCTCCCTTTTGGGGGGAAAATGAGGGTGCTTTGAAGGGGAGAATTGAATTGCTTCTTGACAGGCAGATGAGGCATTGTTTACGATGTGATTCTCGACGTTAAATTAAATGAGATGAATTTCAAGTAGGTTATGCACGATTATATGAGTTATAAAGGGTTTGTGTACAAAGAGTACAAATTTGAACCTGTACTTATTTACACAACTGATGAATTACTGTCTAAACTAGAAAACAAGTAAAATTTTACGTTGAATCAAATAAGAGTATACTCATGTTAATAAGCTAAACGTGCTTTTGTGTAAAGAAAGTACTACTTTTGGCATGTATTTATGTATAATTTTTACTTTGCTATCTAGGAGCTATTTGAACTTGTTAGTTATTTGTAGAGACTGTTTGAACATTTTCCGTCGCACATTTTCATGCTACATTGAATCCATATTAACACATCACATAATCTATGTCACATTAATTAACATTAAATCCGTATCAAGATTTATTAAAACTCGAGTTGATAGGATAAATAGCTGTGAAGTTATAATAGCTTTTCGAACAAAAAGTACAATTAATTCTAGCATTTATTTACGTATTTAACATTGTTAACAGACAAGTGAGGTATTGTTTCCTACATATTTATTTTCATTTTAACGAAGAAGACCCAACACGAATCATAAGAGTTTAAAAAGTTGGTGTAATATACTATTTAAAGTTTTAAAAGTTGGAGTGGTGAAATAAACTATTTTTGAACTGAACTTATTATGAAGAAAATTTGTATAACTTTCAAAAATATTGATTCGAATATTATTTAATTTATTTCAGTATAAGAAATTTTCTCGAAAAAGGCACCTCCTGATAGCTCCTAGATAGCAAAGTAAAATATGTACATTGTACATATATAGTTCATGTCAAAAATAGTACGTTTTATGCATAAAATCGGTTGCAACTTTTGAATTATTCGTTCTGTTGACTCGAGTTTAGTTTCATTCGAATCAACGTGAAAAACTACTTAGGAAAAAACGTCTCCCTTTCTAAGATAGCACTGACAATTGCGTTAACTGGTACAAGCAAAAATTTGCAGATAATTTGCTTTTTTGCATGCAAAACCCTTGTAACATCTAAACTATTAGTCCGATCGTCTCGTGATGAAGCTATGACCACAAAGCGTACATACAAATGATGTGTAATTTTTTTTTTATCACAGTCAAAATATATGCTTTAAAATAGAACCATTTCAAATGAAAAATTTATGCGAGAAAAGAACATTAATAATTGATATATATTAAGAGTGTAAATTATGAAACACCTTGTAGGGCAATCATTTTTTTTAAAAAATTAAATAAAAGTGATGTCCTATGGCGATTTGTCTCCTTGTTAGTGATTTGATATAAGATTGAAATACCTGGTGGATGAAATATATTTTTCACCTGAATGGGTGAACTAATGCTTCTATAACCATATAGTAATTTTTATACTTTTATAAATTATGCAGATTTTTTAAACCTACTAAAATTAATCTTATTTATTACTCAAACAAAAATCAATTTATTATTTTGTGTTTTCGCAATTGCACTTTTTCATATTTAAGAATTGGTAATTTATTGATATCAAACTCACTAGGAAAAAATACAGATAATTATGATTCTAAATAACTTTTTTAAAAGTGTGATAAATATAGAGAATTAGTGATAAAGTAACAATATGTATTCAAATATTTATGAAAAAGTAGAGAAAAAAAAACACTTTCACTTCAAAAACAAAACGATATGATTCATGGAAATTTTACTTTTTTTTTTAAATTATAACCATACTCTTAATAATAACTTAAATAAATTTTAATAATAATAAACTTTTCTTTTAACTTTCTAATAATAAATAACTTTTCCGAAGAAAATCTCTAAAATATATGTTCACTAAAATATATGTTCATGGTAGTCAATACGAGAAATCCTGAATGTATTATGAATTTTTTACAAACTTCGTATGCATTACTTATCATGCATATGTCATATTAGGAATTAAAAAAACTAAATATTTTATTTCGAATTATTTTATAGATACCTTTTAGCATTTTACATAACCGTCATAATTGTAAATAGAAGATGCATAAAATAATTTGATATGCTAAGATAGACATTCTAACAATAAAATAATAAAAGATCTTTAAATAGCTCTCCTAGGGCTGAAATAGCCTGTTTGGTAAGACATTGAACTCCTGTTCGTTATATTGGAAATTCGAAGCCTTGTAACCGTGAATTAACTGAAGCAAAGTTAAATCTTCCCGGGTCACAAAGTCCTCCAAGTTTCATTGATAATACAATACCTCTAGGGTTCTGAATTGGAGTTTCATCAGCCTCTGGTTCAGGTCAAAGTAACGATATGGGGATGAATGAATGGGTCCTCCCTATAAAATGGGCTGTAACGTGTGTGGCCGAAATCGTATTTTTGGCCATAGATGGACCACTGAAAAACAAAAGACGCATCCTGTGCCTTCAATTCGCTACGTTTCTCAAGCAGGCTACTGGCATTGGCTAACAACATAATTTCTCATAAAACCAATGACTAATTTCGAAAATTAATATTAAAAGCGTAAAAACAAAAATTATTACAAAAAATATCGTTAATTTTGAGAAAAAAATTTAATTGCTCAAAAGATATTGGTCTCATAAAAATTATTTTAACAAATATTTATAATTGCGCAGAAAAAATATAATGCAAATGAATATTATGATATTTATTTAAAATACTTCTCATAAATATTAATACATATCTGATTCTATATTTGATAGAACTATTGATAAAAAAAAAACACAGAAAAGTTTTAAAATTATTCATAAATCTTCGTTAACGAATTACTAATATGGCATATTTTGATTTATTAATTTCAAAACTAAATTTATTTGCATAGGTTGAAAGTTACTCATAAAGTTATTTATTTTATAAAGTTTTTGAGTTTATTTTTTCAATTTTCTTTGGAATATTTCTGTAAGAGTTATCTTATAATTATTATTATAGATAAATAAAATAAATAAGTATTGTATCTAGCTATATTATAATTATTGATACCTAGCCCTTTTCTGTCCTTAGTTTTACACAATGTGTAATGTTTAATAAAAAAATATTTTTTTTTAAAAAAACTTTCTTGACTATTATATTGAAATACATAAAAGTAATTTTAATAAAATGCTATTAATTTTGGTTCGGGGACAAAACTTGGCTGGTTTATAATTTCTCAGTGGGAAAACTCCGCAGGTCCATTAATTCGCCAACCTAGAACGTGGCAATTCTAATTCTTTCTAGAACATTTTTATTATTTGATCATTTATATTAATTTGCGTGTAAAAGAAAATTATAATTATTACTTAATTATAAGATTATTAATTATTATTTAAAGCCTGATAAGTAAATGAAACATAAATTAAAGATTTAAAACACATTAAGTTTTCTAAAATTAATATGAAGCATTTTTCAATATATTTTTAAAAAATGGAATGGAAAATTTTGATCTTGAAATATTATCAACGCGAAGTTTTGTCGATGCTAAGTTTAGTTACTGCCACATATTTCTGACCCATTACTATTCATTCTAATTGTATATAAAAATATATCATTTGTAATAAATATTGACTTTTCATATTAATACTTTTTTTAGGAAACGATTGAACTTTATATTGCTCATGAATAAGTAGGAAGACAAACCTTTTAATTACTAACTCGTCATTTCTGGATAAATAATTGTTCTATAATAATTTATTCGACATTTTACAATAACTATTCTCTAGATATATTTCAAAGCACTGCTACAAACATAAAAAAAGTTTTTATTTTATAAATGAAAATATATAAAAGTAAATAAATATAAAAAATTGTTAAAATAAAAATCGTTCGAAATAGTCAAGAACCGAAAAAAAAAATGCTTAATGACTACTTGAACAAAGTATTGAGAAATAA